CAGACTGCTTTTATTACTGTGCCTTTAAGACTAATATACCTAAATGACCTCAGTCAGAGCTGAAACACTCCTTACAACTTCAACATGAATGAGAGACCTAAACCACTGCAAGCTGAGTAGGCGTATATATGAAAATGCGTCAGGTTTTGTGACATCACAAAACTAATTAAAGAACAGCACAAAGACATTAGCATATATCAGTCTTAAAGACACAGTAAACAAAAACAGAATAAAACCTGTTTAATTCTTAGGGATAAAGAGAGTTTGGCCAATGGTCACATTAAAATGAATTATGCCTCATATTATATTTCATTTCAATGAAAATAATATGTTTTATTTCAAAACAGCAAAGTTTTTACTGATAAGGGCCCTTTAAGAGGTCAGCACACCCAGGTAAGTGTGGTGAATTTCCAGTAAAACACTGGAAGAATAGAAAAAAGCTTTTCCTGCTAAATCTCAATTTTTTTAGACTTTAATTGTTACGTGTAACATGAATTTAGTTAAAAGAATTTGGCGAGAAAATTTGTTGTGAGGTCAGTGGAGTCTATCACTGAGGTGAGTCTGTGGATGGCAGTGGCTGTTGTGTACTGTCCGGTGTTGTGTCCTGTGCTTTGTTGTTGCTAGTGCACGGGGGGTCGCTATGAAAAATATGCCGTACTCAGAGACCCCACAGTCCAGCTCTGGTTACGCACACGCTACATATGGCTTCCCTCGGCCGCTGGCCAGGTAAACTGTCAAAGCTCACTTCCTGCTGCGGGGAGGTGCGGCTTTAGAGGCCTTTATCCTCTAGCCCTTCCTGCCGTCCCTGCTCGCTTTTTCCCTCACGCTTAATCCTCGCAGATGACCAGAGACATGAGACTGTGCCCCGCTCTTTCCACCAGCCAGCAGTGCTCATATCCAGCCTGGATCTCCAGAGGAGTTGTCACACTAGTGCAGGTGACGCGCACGTCCAAAGATAGATCCTTTAGCCCAACTCTCATGACCCTCTGCATTACCTCTAATGCCAGCCGATGTTTGCCTGTGGTCTGATTTCAATCACAAAGCAGCTAAATCCTTCAGGGGAGTCTGATTTCTTTTGGTGAGGCGGAAATGAGCATGATGGGGGTGCATGGTGTATAGAGGTGAAGGGGCAGCGCTCTTTTTCTTCTTCTCCTCTTTCCTGACGCTATGTCCAAGAAAGTGCCATTCAGGCCCTCAGCAAACAATGTGTGGATTCAAGAAAACTCAAGGGGGCTCAGGCCTGGACTCAATCTAGCTGTCATGGACGTTTTCCTGTTCTCTGACATAGCTGTGTGCTTCTGTCCCTCAGGGAAATCTCAAAGAATATCCATTGCTGTGCTGTTATCATCTCCAATATTTGTTCTCACCTAGGTTGCTGATCTCCATGGTGACACAAACACTGTAGTAATGCAGGCTAATAGCACAATACACAGCATCAATAAATCACTGACTCTGCAGAACATCTGATATGTATACATCAGTATCTCTGTTTTCCCAAATAGCTTAGGCAACAACAGAGGTGAGCCTTAGCAGCGCTATGACACACATCCTGCTGTCTAGGACACTATCCCTGATGCCAAATGCTGAATAATTATGTTTACACATACTCATCTGCTGCTCAGAAAGCTACTGAGGTCACAGCACAGTTTTGGAACAGTTATGTCAGGCATTTTCAACTGGTATAAGAGTTACTAACCACCCTGATGCATGACACTTGATTAATGTGAGAGGACTCAAAGGTATGTTACAAAGAGGATTCATGCTCAGCACTGCATTATAAGATAATACAACATTTTAATTACAGCGGAAGAGCAATACTATTGTCAAATCTACTCTTAAAAACATCAAAAATAAAAGACGTCAGCAAGAGAGTTAGACAAATTATAAGCGGCTATTTATGGAATCCATGGAACAGCTAAAGTTAAACTGCTAACATGTGACAGCCTGAGTGAAGTAAGTTGAGGTGATACATTAAATCTTCTTCATCTCATCACATTGAGACCAGAGAGCATAAGTACACACAGGGGAAGTACATCTTTCACATTGTGCCAACTACTCTAGATGACCAAACAGTAGCCAACGGCACATAAACGTCAGATGGATTAATCATATCAATGTGAAATAAATAAAATAGGTGTCTAAATGGATATCTAAAGTGTCTCAAGGCAGAAAAGGTATGTTTCTCTATGTAGGCTAGCTCAGATTTCCATTTGTCTTCATAAAAATAAAATCGGCTGCATGTCACAGTTAATGAAAAAGGGTTAAAAGGGATTTTAAACAAGGGACAGTTCTGTAAACCTAACTGCTAATGCAATAAATGGTATATAAAATGAAATTCATTAATGTGCTGAAATACATAATGACTATGCAAATAGATGATTCTCCTGCACTGTTCTGACAGACTTCTGTTAGATTACCTGATAAAATTGCAGATTTTTCTGCTTTCATATTCTGTTTTCATTGATTGACAGCTACCTCTCTGAGAGTGGTGAATCCACAAATAGCAGATAACCACATTGGTGGGGTTATTCAGCTTTGGGATATAATATGGTTTTCTGTCTGCATGTGTGTGAATGTTCCATGAGGGGCTTCTGAGGGCCACCGACGGGGGCCACTACTGCCTTCCCTTTGCACTCAAAATAAACAAAGGAATGGGAGCTATCTGAACTGTGCCCGCAGAAATGATTGACAGGAAGCAGCTGGAAGCAAGACACTGCTACATATGCATCCATATTCATACAGTATTACAGTATCCAAACACTTGTGGTAAAGCTCAATGTTATACAGCGGTAGAAGTGTAAAAATTTAAAAAGGAAATGGGCCCAGAAGACTGGCGGAGTGCAGAATCGGAAGGGTAGAACTTATATCTCACTATATCTCACATCTATATGCATATCTCACTTTATACTATGATTGAACAGCCTTGACAATGAGTCTTTTTAAATATGATGGTATTAGTCATCAACAACAGCCAAATATATACAGCAAACTTATGACAATGAATACTCATAATAGATACCTTAAGTGACAGTAAAATGTTACCCCAAAGGGGATTGAAAGGGGGGACAACTCATGTCATTTTTTTTTTAACCAAGATAATGACATCCCCTTGTATTTAACTGGGTTCACGGTGAGACCAGGATGTCTCCCACAGCAAAAGCAGTAAAGTACAAACACACACAAACACAGACACCATCTGGGATGTCCGCTCAGTTAACACACTGATGACTACTACTGATGGGCCAATTAGCACTCAGATGTGTGTGCTGTCTCCCCTCTCTCTCTTTCTCTCTCTCTCTCACACACACTCGAGTCATTTAATGGCTCACACCTGGAGTCTGTGGTGTGGAAACAAGAGACCAAGGTGTCGTAGCTACAGGGCTGTGACACTGTGGAAAGTTACCACAGTAAGCAAAAGTAGAGCCTCTTTACTAACATGGGAAAGACAGCACATCATGCAACAGATGCACACTGTTCAAAGAACTTGCATTGTTGTAGCTTAAACAAGTACGTAATCTTGTCTTTAAAGTTTGAGCTCACTGAAGGTCTAATAGTAAGTTAACAGGACAAATAACTGTGTGTTACATTCTGTTAACTTATTATTTGAAGTTTAATAAATCTAAATTTTAAGACAGTCAGGTTGCTTACTTTTAAAACAAGTTAAAGGGCCCATTTCAAGATTTTTTTTTGCTTTTTGGAAACAAAAGTGTTTGATGTACGATGTAAACATTGCAAAAGTTTCAAAATGCACTATCCACTCTCAAGTCCATATACGGAAACTAAACTATAGCCTACTTTAAATTAGCTGTTTTTGTGATGTCAGAAAACTGAAGCATTTAAATGCATCCACTTCAGCTTACAGTGGTTTAGCTCGGTCATTCATATAGAAGTCATAAAGAATGTTTCAGCACTGCTTTTTGAAAGAGGGCATAATTCAGGGCGACCAATCAGAACAGAGGTCATTTACATCAGTCTTAGAGTGGCAGTAACAAAAACAGCCTGTTAAATTATGTGTAACAAACTGGGGCTGAAAAAATGCATGTAAAAATAAATTGTACTGTTTTTGGTACATAAACTCAAACAAACATCATAACTGGACAAATAAAATACCTAAAAAATGTAGGACGTAGGCCATTTAAAACACAGAGTTGAGTTGAGCTGAAGACCAAACTGCACCTCAGAAGATTCCTCAAATTGCTACATATTACAATTTGGTTTTGCATTTTTTGAGTGGACCACACTGATTCCTTAAATGCATTCATCAAAACACCAAAAGAACACTCAATGTGGAACTTAGACTGATCAAGATGCTCACAGAACACACAGAAAACATTCCGACTTGTTAGCAGGCTTATTTGCGCATTACAGCCATCTGCAATATCAGTATTGCAAAGGCCATTGTTGTGATATACTATGTAGCCCTAATAGACATAACTGTGCTGAGCCAGACTGACTTGTTATCCACCAGCTACAGATCTTCCTGACGGTTCAGTCTGCTCTGGAATGCCCAGATGATGCCATCCCGTTCCTCTGGTTTGCATCATAACCCACCTGACACAAGTGAAAGCCAATGACTGCCAGCAGCACCCGAAATATGACTGCACCTGTCACCATAGCGATGCCAGGCCGGGGGCACAAGTGCACTCCTGCGGGTTTGTGGTGGGATGAACTAGAAAAACTTTTTTTTACTGTTAACTACCTCTAAAATTACAGAGGGGAAATGGAATCTAACTGGCTCTGGCTCTGATCAAATCTCCATCCTACATCCATAACTAACAATAGCTGTCCTCACATATACCTGCAGGACCAGAACAGGAGAGGGATTTTGTGAAGCGAAATCTCAAACAGGCTCAGTCAAAGGCTTAACCACAAAGCAAATTTAACAGAATAATTAGTTGTGGCAAGCAATGCGCTATTCACAACACGAACACAGGTGTGTTACAGTCAGTAGGTTGGGTTCAGAGAGGAATGGGTGGATTTGGGTGTAATATCAGACGTACCTGGTGGGCACAGACAGCTGTGGGGGGCTTCCCGAGTCTCTCGAGTCTTCGGTAGACGAGACGCTAATTTCTGCAAAAGAATAATGAAGAGATTGATTGTCTGTAAAATAAAATAAAAAAAAGAATGACACTGATATAATGCTAATAATATAAGAGAATAAAAGAATGACATAGAGAAAGCTATGTCATTATTGAATTTAGCCTGGTTATAGCAGAACTCATCAGGCGGCCTGAACAGATAAACAATAGAGCTGGAGCTTCGACCTTTACCAGGGGCACGCCATACATTCCCCTCGCATAGCACATGGAGCCATTCATGCTATTAGCAGAGGCACGTTCGTGTGCTCCGGGTGCACTGACAGGTGCAGCTGTGTTGTTAGTTACTTTATTAACAATATCAGTCAACACACTAGGTAACACTTTCGTGTCTATTTTTCATTTTATTTCTAATAGATGGGAGCTCTCTTAAGGACAGTTGGTGTTGTTTTAAAGATCAACTTTGGATTTGCCACAGTCACATAAAAAATAGCACCGAATAAGATAAAAAATAAAAATAAAAATAAATAAAAAATGAAAAACATTTGATAACCTTTATATTTTTAAAATATTCTATATATTTTAAAACTTAAATGTATTATTTTAAATATATCTTAAATTTTAAATTTTATATATTTAGTTTATTTAAAATATATATATATATATATATATATATATATATATATATATATATATATTACACAATATGCAAACTGAGGTTTCAAAGATTCTTTAGCGGTTTAAAGCAGAAATGTGAGGAACTGGCTGCTAAAGAAAATTATCAAATGTGCAAAAAATATCACTCCATGTTCCTAAAAGCTGGCTGTTGACTACAATGCAAGATTATAACTGTGAAATAATAATAATTTATTACTACTTGCACCATAAAATTATAACCGATTATAATTTAGCTTAAAGCTTAAACCTGTCAGAGATGTGTATAATTTAACACAGATAGGTAGGACTTGAATGTCACCTCACTCCAGTCACAACACTCACTCGCTGTTGACATTAACAGCCATACTGCGAAGTTTGTAGAAAGCACAGTACATGTGTCTGTGCAGTGGTAAAGGTGTAGAAGTCATGTCTAATCATCTAATATTAAAACTCTAGTGCTAAATCATTCTCCGAGTGCTATCGGACATATTTCTCTTGCCCCGGTTTGTGTTAACCACAAATCGTTCCAGGGGTTTATTTGGTTGATACTGGCAGCCCCTCTTCCCAGCTGCAAAAGTCTTTACGCAGACCAGCTTCAGACACTACAAGCTATCGTATTTTTCCACAACACTGAAGCTGGCCGGGGTACAGTCGGGTTGCCTTGTAAAACAGAAATAGAGCTAGTGAAGACTAATAAGAGAAGGACGGGCAGAAGAACAATGTCATGACAGTGTACTGTAAAAGCTGGACTAAGCAACAGACCGTTCCTGAGCAAGTTCACTAAGGTTCGGAAAATAGATTATGATTGGAAAAGCGTGCACCCTCTGCTCAATCCATTTCTCCAAAGGACTATTGCACATTAGGCATTTCAAAACACCTTTATCACCTATTAATGTGGAATAATGTCACACATTTTCCGGCATCTCAGCTCTAGACTGAGACCAAATGAAAGATTCATATGAGAATAAATACACAGCAGTATCAATAAGGTTTTACTTAAATGGCAAGCACTGAGGAAGACCTGCAGCTTTTAAAATTGAAAGTACTTATGCTAATCTATGAAGGCTACCAGATTGAACAGGTAATAAAGTACAGAGACAGCCCTTAACCTCTTATTCACCAGGGTATATTTTGGTTTGTCCATCTGAATTTACATGACCAAATCGTAAGGCAAATTATTCAGTAACTGCATGAAATAAATTTTTATTTTACTTATTCTTTTTTGTTTTGTAAAAGCTCCTCTCAATTTAACAGAACATGTGTTTTATGATCAAACCCATATTGCTATATGCTTACAATTTACTGCTGAAAGGCAAAAATCTTAGACGCTCTTTGCATTATTTCATAAAAACAATTTTTACAGAGCAGATCACTGAACTGTTTATAGTTTATAGCCCAGATTTGTGGAAAAATGGGTCAACTTTCAGTAGACAAAAAAGTTCAGCTTCTTCTATTATAAGGGTTTAAAATTACATTACCCATCTATTTGACTGGAAAGAAGACAGTTACAGCTCTCATATGACACCCACTTTTTGAATGTAGCTTATGAAATATGAAGGTTATGAAGAATATGACGAAGTGCTTTTTGGAACCACCGGTCGTCTCAAGGAGTTGAAGTTAAAGCACAATGAACAAAGAAAAATTATCATCATCATTATTATTATTATCACACCCAATTTGTTCTGGGATGTGGTGCTTTTCGTCATGGCTGGTGTGTGCCGTGGTGTGAATGGTGAGGTGGTGGTAATGTTAATGGGGCAGCTGCTCTGTGCGTGTTTCAGGGATGGGTTGGGGGGGAGATGGCATTCTCCGCCTTGCCGCCTCCCAGCGTTAATGGTAACCTGAACCCCAGTTTTTGATCTGGTTTTAGCATTCTATTTTAAAAGGATGACAAAACGTTATGCAATTCCAATGTCTCATTACTACTAAGACCTCCAGACTTTGCTGCCAGGGAAACTGCATCTCTCACCCTGCCTCTGGTATACAAAGGTTGGATTAACAAAAAGCTGAGGGTCTTATCTTAAATTGTCACACTAAATGTAAGCTAACAAAGTAGAAAGAAGACGTTAGCTAATACTAGCATCACCACACTAGAAAACTATAATCCATTTTAGTGGACATTGATTAAGCCTAGTCTTGGACTAAATTGCAATGTCAGTGGTGTTTCACTACAGAAAGCACAGTAAGTCCAGATTTAAGCTAAATCTGAGTATTCAATACAGCTCTACCCTATTAAAAATGGTTTGTCAAGCATTTCTTCAGAAAAAGCAATGGTTAGAACTGTGAGCACTCAAAGAACCATCTAAATGGAGAAATGGTTCTTTACATAGTTAAATGGTTCTTCTCTACAATTGGAAACTACTGCATATTGTTCTTTAAAGAATCCTTTAAAATTGTTCTATGTAGCACTAAAAAGGATTCCACTACTATTACAAGTCACAGAAAAAATTTGGTACCATATAGAACACTTTTTTCTAGGAGTGTACACACTTAAAAATAAAGGTTCCTAAAAGGTTCTTAGCCTTTTATGTGCACTCTCAGAAAAAAAGGTATGAGACTGTCCCCCTTGTCACTGGGGTGGGACCCTCAAGGGCACATCTTAATACTTTTAGTCAGGGAGCATAATTGTATCATAATCCATTGAAATTATATTTTCTAAGTTGTACTGACTCCACAAATACTGTCTTGTCTCAAAGGTTTTTACTGTATTGTCCTGTTTTTAAAGGTTATGAAAAGGTACAAATATGTACTTTTCACCTGGTAAAAACTTATTTTAGGATACACACAGTTGTACCTTTGAGGGTACATTTACATTGTTTGTAGCTTGATAAACAAAAAATTTACCTGCATTGTAACTTTATTTCTAACAGTGTATGATTCTCAGAAAAACCTGTCATTGGTATAGAACTTTTACATTATAAGTTCTTCACGCTCGCACTTTTCATTTAGGAAAATGATTCTTCAAAAAACCACCCACTGAAAAGTTCTTTAAGGAACAAAAATCTGGCATCACCCTTTTCAGCACCTTTATTTTAGGAGTGAATATGTTTCAAAACTAAATCAAATCAACGTACCAGTGACTAATGACTGTAAATGAGAAAGAAGTCATTTTCAGCACTAGCTCAGCCCCAGAGTGACTCACACCTCACTTTACTTCAGGCCTGCTGCAGCAATGAGACAATCTGGCTGCATCTCTTCAGTCTGCTTTGCTTCACTAATGCACACTGTAGGCCTTGCGCCCTAACTGTCCTCTGTGGTCCCCAGCGCTTTACTACCTAAGAGCAGAGATTCCAAATGAAGCATTTTGGCTGCTCAGAACACATCAGCCCGGAATATACTTTACAAACTGCTGGGTGAGAGACCATTAGAGGCCAAAGTGAGGAAAGCATGGCTACAGGAGACAGTATATCTCACTTTTCTCCACCTCCACCATCCCAGGCTCAGACCTGTGTGTAAGGCTAGTGTTGTGCCTGCTGAGAGCACTTAGAGCTTGATCAGAAATGTGAAACAGGCTGCTTTTAGGTGAGATAATGGCCTGTGCACTAAAGTATTTGGGGTATGAAGGCATTATCAAGCCTCTGAGGACATTTGACTTTCCTTTCTTACACCTCTCTTAAATTCTCCTGACAGGTTCTGATTTTTGGATTTTTCCGTTGCACTACAACAGGAGTCTCGAAGAGAATGTGCAGTAAGTGCTTTAAGGGATGCACACCAAAAAACAGTAGAAACAGACTGATTGTAAAATAACCAGGATTCTCAACAGAAAAAGGTTGAAGGTCAGTGCTGATCACATCTCTGAGTGGTTACGAATTAGAGAGACACTTTTTTCACAGCAAAACCATGTGACGTACAAAATGTTAAGAAAGTTAAGATTATCCAATGTGTGACACATAAATATACCATTATGATTCACTCATAACATTTGCTATCACATCATGTTGGTTCTTTTGGTTTGTATAAAGCAGAAAAAAATAAATCAGGTCTTGATTTGGCATCTAAAGAGTAACAGTTTAGATACGGTTTCTCATTTAAGCCCAACAAATTGAGCTATTTGCCTGAAAGGTTTCTCAGTGAATGGGTTCAGTGCATCCTTTCATGTCCAGCTGTGCCCGGTGAAAGTGAATAGCACATAAACAGAGCTAAACTAACAAACAACGAGAAAGGGCCCTTCGACAGGGAGAGGATCTTGTTAGTATAGCTGTGGAGGCTGTCAGGTGGCTTCGACCTCACACCAGCCCTTTAAATCATTTGACAGTGCCTTCTTATGGCAGCGAAGGCTTTTACAGACAAGTACCAAAGTGGTGGTGCGACAAAAGACATTTCCTCGGGAAAATAAAGGTTTGATTCTTGTTCCTGTACAATTATTCTTTAACTGAAAGGTTTACGGGCTTTGCCTCAAGAGTAAACACAAAATAGTTGATATTCTACAGTCTACAGCACACAGCTTATTCTGAAAATCATCTGAAGTCATGAAACTCTGCTAAATCAAATGTGCAAGTGCACCCAAATATCAGAAACTGCTAATTTGGTCACTTTCAGATTTAACATCATTTGGAAGCTTTTGTCTGTAGTGATGCATAGCTGAAGTAATGGCAGGAAAACTGAGCAACCAGTAAGAATTGTTTAGTTTTTGTAGCACAATACGCTGCAGAATCTAAGACAGAGGAGAATCTAAAGAAGCCATCTGTGATAAAATGAGCCTTGAGCTGTTTCGTTTATAATGTAGTTAAAAGAGGACCAACTTTATTATCGTTCAACATGCAACACCTTAAGTACCACCACTGGCTGAACTTGCAGACTAACTTGAAGAGCATCACACAGAAGACCAAAGTCCACTCACCTCTTCCAGCATCTGATCCAAACGACTTAAGAGAATGGGCTCCACCTGCTCGAGAGAGATCCAGCCCGAAAGCTCGGGATCCCGTTGTTTCTCCAAGCTGAGCACTCTGGACTGCAGCTCCGAGGTTCTCAGGTAGACCAAAACGCAAATCCCAAACGCCACGAGAGAAAGCGCCGTGCTGACCGCCACAGCGCACACGTCCATGCGGTTCGTCCCAAAGCTCCTTCTGCACGGATGCTCACTGCAAGTCCTCTCCCCGGCTGCCTGGCGCGAGCCTTTCCATTTCATATCTTCTTCCATCGTCATGAGGGGCATCTAAAAAAGCTGCCTGTGCCAAGCTGATCTCACCCACGAGCCTCCCTACAGATCACTCATGAGAAGCAACAGCAAACGGCGTGGGCTTCAACATAAACATCAAAGTGACCAGCAGCGTAGTCCACGAGGTGCTTTTAAAGTCGGCAAACGAGCCTTTTTTACATCGGGGAAGAAAGAGAGAAGCAAACAGCGCGGTTTAGAGTGAATTCAGGAGACGCATGCTTCTTATGGAGGGTCTCAGTGGTAGACGAGGGCAGGTCGGGCTCGGCTCAAAGCTGTTACTGCGCTGCCGTGTGAATCAGTTGTGCCATTGGAGTGGACTGTGAGTGCAGTGCTAGAGCGGTGGACAGACACTGTGAAAGGAGAGACACTCCACACTGGGCAGCGCGCTGATGGGCTGCGATGGGCTCCTCCTTCTGATTTGGCCGGACTAAACGGCGGGGCGGCGCTGGAGCTCCAGCTGAGCAGAGCGCGGGTATATTTAGGAGCCCGAAGCCCAGATGTAAACTGACCCTTTGATCTCCAGTGCGCAAAAAAATGCGTTTAACGCGCATTCTGATCCTTTCCTCTCATCTGGAACATGCCTAAATAGACCAATTAAAGCTATTTACTGTTACATTTTAGTCGATTAAACTCGATCACTCGATTAAGAAATAAAATCGATTAAAATTCGCCTTCTCAATAAATCGACAGCGATTAGCTGACATTTTTTATATGCCGTTCGTGCATAATGAGCATGTCTAATGGCGCCTCTTACAGTAAGAGGCAAGGCTGTTTTATGCATTTGTTTATATTTTTATTTATGTCTATTTAAAACGGGTCTCAAAGTCCTGGAGGACCACAGTCCTACATAGTTTGGCGATTTTCCTGCTCAAAAACACAAACCTACACAATCCTAAACCTGGGTCTTAAATTATGAGTTGAATCAGGTGTGTTTGAGCAGGAAACTCACCAACAGTGCAGGATTCTGGCCCTCCAGGAATGGACACTGAGACCCCTCATTTAAAGGCCCCCTTGGTTATATTTTCAATGCACTTTTGTCGAATATGCATGCTTTCTTAATGCTCAGTTAAGTCATTTTTACTGTGTACCTTGTCTAAAAAGCTTGAATAGTTAATTAATAGTCAAAGTAGTAGGTAGATCTCTCAATTAGTAATATAATTGTCAGCCTGATTACATTTAGCTGTAACAATTTAGTTTGTTCACTTACTAGAGTGACGTACAAAATTTGCATAGAGTACTTTTACAAAATATGCAGAGAAACTGCAAAAGCTGTTTAACAGCAAGACTGTATAGCTATTTTAACTACCAATGATCACTGAGACTGAATACACTCAGCCAGCTGTTGTTCTTAAGAGATGATTAAATGTTGTTGAATTTCAGATGAACTTTGTTCTCCTTGTGTCACATGGAAAACACTATACAATTGCAATCCAGAGTGGATTTCTTTATTTGGCTGGATCACTTCATGTAACAGCTCCTCTTGACATATGAATATGTAGAAACTGTAAAGAGCAAACCCAGAAGCATAAGCGGCTTAGAAGATGTGTGTGTGTGTGTGTGTGTGTGTGTGTGTGTGTAAAGAGCAAGTAAAACATCCTGCTGGTGTGAGAGTAGGTGCTACATTCATTTATGCCTTTATCAACATAGTACATAGTTATGCTATTTACACTAGCCTAGTATGCCCTGGAGATATGTTGTTGGGCCTTGCAGGTGGCCATAAATTCCTGAATCAGGTTGCTCTGCAAGTGAGAACTTAAGTGAGTGGCTAGGGGTAAAATAAATTGTTCTCCTCAACCCCACCCCACTCCCACCCCACAACAATCAGTTTCTGCCACAGCTGCTTTGGGTTTTCTCTTTTTACTGCAAGTTGCTCTGTGGTTTTGGAGTAAACAGGCAGGGCTTGCTTTTTTCTAAACAAATTTTGCAGAAAATAACTATGAAAGCAGTCCAGCACAGCCTACACCTTCTTTAAATGTGTAATAAGACACTACAAAGGAAATGTACCCTGTCTTCAGTTAGGAGCAAATGTGAGTAGTAACCACTTATGTTTACTCAGTTACATATGCTTAAGTTAAAGTCTGATGGATTTGTACTATCTTAAGAATTTTAAAATCGTATTTCACTTTTACTCATTACATTTTAGTCATTAACACACAAACTTCGATTACAAAAAGCTTTGAAAGTAGGTGAAACAGTTTATTCTGTTTTACTTGACTTAATTGAAAACAGTACAAAAAATATAAGCATATACTTGTGACACAATATTACAATATTACATCACCTTTTGTAATTCTTTGTTGAACACCAGTTCATAAAGTTTACAAGGTGGAACATTTCAGTCTTCAGCTGCACAACTGTACTTGCTGTCATCATGCTAAAATAAGCATGGATGTCCTTGAAAAAGATGTTGTTTAGAAGGCAGCATATCATTTTCCAAAATGGGTCTTTCAGCGTTAATGGTGCCTTCACAGACATGCAAGTAACCCATACCATAACAGACCCTGGCTTTTAAACTTTACACTGGTAACAATCTGGATGGTCTTCTTCTTTTTGTTCCATTGTTTCCATGTAATTCCATATATTTGAAATGAGTTTGTGTCTAGAGAAGTTAGTGCTGTTTCTGGATGTTGTTGATATATGACTTGCATTTGTGGATGCAGAGATAAATGATGTTTATCAGAGCCAGAGTGGGACTTCAGATTAGGAATTACATGATTCAGACTAGCCCACCCCAAACTCTACACACACACACACACACACACACACACACACACCACTGCCTTCATGCAAAACAACTTTTTCTAAAATCCATGCATTTTCATCTTATTAATTTCTTATTCTTATCTCTTTTTTATTGTTTATATGCTACACTGAGATGATGAAGGTGGCTAGCTAGTGACAAAATGAAAACTGGTGAATGTTTTTATCTTAAATATGATGTAATCATGACAGTCAATATGCTACAAAAGAATGCTAGCTAAGTAAATTAATTCTAATTAATTAATTCTAATTAATATCTAATTAATATACCTGCTCGGATATGTCCTCATCCTACAAAAGGAGCTTTTTCATTCTTGTGTTCTTGGTGCCAACTTTTTTTTTTAGAGTTACCACTTACCACTGCTGTCCATCTTCTGTCCACCATTTTATGATTCACATATGAAAATTGTAGGGAAAAAAGTGATGAAGGCTGTAGAGTAGTGCTTTTTGTGTCAGATTCATTCCATCGTGCTGAATTTCCTAATTCAAATTTCTGTTCCACCTTAAATAGCTGCAGTTAGAGGCTAGCACCTGTACAGGCATGTGAGTATAACTGATATATCATTTAAGGTGGAACGGGAAATGAGAATAAGAAGCTAACTTCAGCTTCATCTAATCTCTATCCACCGTATGAGTGCAGTTACAATCAGCAAACCGGGGCTGTACCAATTGAGGTGGGGGCTGCTGGTTTGTCCCCTAAATTACTACAGATAAACACTTGGCTGTAACCTTAATTGCTCGTCTGAGTGGTGTTGTGCTTATATGCATGAGTTTATACATTAGCTGACATTAACCAGCCCAAAACGCTATTAGCCCATCAGGAATTCTCCCAATTACCCTCCCCGGCACTGGTGTTTATTGACAACAGTTGGTCAAAGTATTCCACAGTTCTATCTATCACAGATGTATGCCTGTTTTTAATGCAGTGTTGTCTGAGGGATCAAAGGTCATGGACATTCAGTGATTTTTGGCCTTGCCCTTTACTCACAGACATTTATCCAGATTCCCTGAATCTATATGATATTATGTACCATAGAGGGTAGAATACCGAAAATTCTTGTAATTGCTCATTGAAGTATGTTGTTCTTAAACTTTTGTATAATTTGCTGATTCAAACCTATCCTCCCTCATAAGGAACTTATAAACCCAAGTATGATTGCATCACCCATTTAAGATGTTAATGTTAAGATGTCCAAACTTTTCAATTTCAGAATGAAAGTATATTTCTCAACTTTTTTGGAACTAAAGTTTGTAGTTTATTAATTTAATTTCATCAGTTTTCATTGGTTATGGTAGCATCTTTGCAGCTTTGTGGTTGGTCACGCCTATGATTTTTAAAGTTTAGCATTTTATTTTAGACCAAGAGCGCTTTAAAAATAGAGCATTATGGCCTATTAAACTTCTTAGATAAGTATGATAGATGTAGGATGTACTAAAAGTTCCACTGCAGTTTTATAAGTTACTCAGTACTTAAGTAGCATTTTAAGCTGCTATTTTTTTTTACTCAAGTAATTTTGTGAAAAGTATTTTTACTTTTATTGAGTCATTATTTCATAGAAGTAACAATAATTTTACTTGTGTTCAGGCTTATACTACTCTGCCCTCCTAGGAGCCATTCTCAGTATTATTTCAAACAGATCGGGGGGAGCACTCCACGTTTGAAGACAAAAGGACAGTTGTCCCCGTTACACGAAGTCCATGTGAGCTGGCTCTTAGGAAAGTATTTGGCAGTTGACAACTTGGAAAGGGCTGATTGAGCAGACTGAACGGCATCTTAATTCTGCCCCTGAAATAAGGCATGTGTGCATGTGTGTGCGCTGCCCAACTGCCAAATTAGCAGTTGAGAGTACCTGATGTCTTTCGAACCATACATACACATGTATTAGGCAATAACTTCAATTAGTATACTTTATTGGGTTGTGTAATGCTATGTACAGACTATGTTGTGTAATGCTATGTACAGACTATGTTGTGTAAAGCTATGTGCAGACTATATACAAACACTGCTAAATTCAGAAATTTCCTTTTACAAAGAGAAATTGAGTTTTCTTCCAGATGCTGTATTAATGGATATCCTCTTTTCATCAGATTGTTAAGCCTAGGAAGACAGACCCTAAATTACATGCATCCTCTTATGGTTTTTCCTGTTATGTCTAATTTCCATTAATTCTTTAATTAAAGGTCACGCCAGAAGTTATAACTATAACATGTTTGCTGTTTTGCTGTCTGTAGCAACTGAAGCTGTGGTCATGCAGCAGATGAGCGGCGAAGAACCACCTCAAGCGACGGCTGCTCTAATTGCATTTACAAAACCACACGGACGGCTTAGATTATAGTCACTGTTCTGCAGCCCCACAAAAGCTTTAAAAAGCTAATAGAGTATTTCCTGACTTGTGTCTCCAGCTGTGATTTATTTAAACCCAGAGATGTTCCCTCTGCTGTCAACCACATCTGAACCTCTTATAGCTTTTTTACACGTGAGCTGGATGCTCTCCAAGCATTTAATGAACCCAGTGCTGAAATCTCTGTAATTATAACATGACCAGCTGTGTCAGGATGAATATACCACAACTTTAAATCAAATATGTTTTTAAGAGAAAC